TGAAATAGATACTGATGATTGCACATCATGTAATTAATGCCACTGAATTGTACACTTAAAAAATGGTTAAAATGGCCCCAAAGGGGGACATTTTCTCACACATACACACATGATGCAAAGCACAGAGGTAAACAGACCGTCCACAGAAGCCTTCACTGATGTAAGAAGAAAGGACAGATGCAGATCCAGGTGAGTTTGTCAGTTCAGTTGTGGAAACAGATATTTCTGGATCATCTGCTGAGAGTGAAAGGGTCTTGGGATTGGAATCCTACTTCTTCTATCAACTCAGTACTTCTTTGTGCAGGTTCTGGTGTTCCCCATGATCTGGCTCTGAGTTTACCTAACCGACACATTCACTAATTCCTACCATCCACTTCAGTCAAGCCATTCTCTTCACACCACCCAGCTGTCTGTCTCCTATCTCCATCTCCTTATTCATGTTGCTAACCCTTTCCTTTGTTCAGCCACATCCTCCCCATCTTCAAGGCCAGCTCAAGAACCATTTCCATATGGAAGAAACTCTCTCTCATCCATAGTTTTCCTATCCTCCTAATCATCCTCAATGACTTCCCTGGCCTTGAACACCAACAGCAATATAAAATGCTCTTCCCCGTTACAACTTACTTACCCACAGCAGTGTGTGGATTCTTGTTTTCCATTTGCTAGTCTTTTGTAGGCTCCTTCTCTTAATCTTATTTACTAAGCAAGTACTAATAGTTTTTTAAGTACCCAGCAAATACTATTATTGTTGATTAGTGAATAATAATTAACAATAGCTGGTATTTGTGTAGCCCACGCATTCCACAGTGCTTTCACACATATAATTATGGGATCATTGTTTACCAGTCTCTTAAATCCCCACAACAAACTTATTAATGAAATGTTAGCTCCATTTTAATGAAAAAGAACCTGAGGTGTCAAGGAATCAAGTGGCCCATGTGAGTTTGTATGCTAATTAATAAATTAATACTGTATTTAATAACAAAATAACAATTAAAATCAATCTTGTGTATTAAAAAAAAGTTCCCTAATACATGTCCAACTGAGAATAAACCTAGGAAAAAGACTTTTTATATAGAAAATGACACATTTATTTTGTTATTTAATAAATGTTTTGTCCCACACAACCTGATTCTATTTAGCCAAGTTGTTTCATAAAACTATTTTCAACTTTATTTTTTTAAAGACTTTATTTATTTATTTATTTGAGAGAGAGAGAGAGAGCACAAGCAGGGAGAGAGGCAAAGGGAGAAGCAGAAGCAGACTCCCCGCTGAGCAGAGAGCACAATGTGGGGCTCCATCCCAGGACTCTGGGATCATGACCTGAGCCAAAGGCAGACACTTAACCGACTGAGCCACCCAGGCACCCCTATTTTCAACTTTAAAAAGTTAACAAGTAATATATATTTGTCATAGAAAAATAAGAAAATAAGTCAGGGGGAGGCCTATAATCCCATTATCTAAAGTCAACAACTACTAACATATCTTTTCACACATTTGTTTATGATTTTATGTAGACCCCCTTTCTTTGAATAGAAAAATTTTTGTATAGATAGATAGCTTTGCTTATAGGCTTTTTAACTAAATGGGGGGAGGAATGAATATATTTGCATGTCAAATACATCTAGGTTCCCATTAATAACTGCATGACTTGTAAGCTAATCCCCTATTTTTGTATGTTTAAGTTGGGTCACATTTTTTCTATCATGTAACTGTGATGAACATTTCTCTATCTTCATGCACTTGTCCAATTATTGCCTTAGGATGAATTCCTGGAAGTAGGACTTACAGGTCAATGGTAAGAAACTATTTTTGAAATTTTTTTGTCATGAAATAGAGGTGATAAAACAGATTTAGGGGCATGCTAAGTTTTCAGTACTCTGTCGTACTAAAAAAATTTTTTAACCAGATAAAACTCTGTTTTTTAAATACGCCCAAAGAATTTAAATAGATGGCTTCAACATCCCAACCCCTTCAAACTATAAAAACATAAAAATGAAAAACACAATAATCTAACATTGATTTGGAAGAAAGACATAGCCTAATTCAATAACTTTTATTATTTCTTTAATCAAATGAGAAAAGCAGAAAAAAAGCGGAACCCACATTTGTAAAAATGATGTCCTCCAATTTTTAAAAGCTTTTTATTTTTCTGATTTAAAAAATACATATTCATTATAGAAAATTTGGAAAATACAGAGAATGAAGAAAATACGAATTTCCCAGAATCCAACAATACATCAGATAGCCTTACAGTTTTACTACTTTCTCCACATGTGTACTTTTTAACAATTTGCCATTTTTCTTCTCTTCCCAACCCAACCCCCCCCAGAGAGGAGGGGAAGGCAGGTCCTTGAAGGCCACAGCCGGTGACATCCCAGTGACATCCACCACACCATTTCATCCTCACTGAAGGCTTCCCTCCTTGCTGAGCTGTGGCCTGTTTCCCTTCTTACTTCCCAGACTGCTACACAAATGCACAAGCCCCCTACCCCCCCCGCCCCCCCTGCAAAGCAGGGCCAAGTCTCCTCTGCCCCAGAACTCCTAACCGGAGAACTGACCAAGTCAACTTCCAGCTACCTGCGGCATTTCAGAGCCAGGCTTCTCCCTGGTAACACCCTGAAGATTTATCTCAGCGGATCAACATCTGAAGCCGCAACTAATACCTCATAAAATGTATACAGCACTTTTAAAGTTTAGCAAGTTCTCTCACACACATTGTAACCTCTGTGAGTCTTCTGAAGTGGACAGAGCAGATATCCCCGTGTAACAGAAAAGGAAACCAAGGTGCAGAGGAACTGAGTAAAGGTCATAGACAGTGAGTGGCAGAGCTTGGATTTGAAGCTGTAAATTGACTCCAAGGTCAGAGCTCTTTACCTAGCCATTATTAACAAGCCAGTCTTAAGACTGACAACTAGAAATTGAGAGCCAGAAGGATCTTCAATAAATCACCTAATCTAATCGCTTCTTAGTATTCACGTATAAGGAAAATAAGTCCCAGAGAAGCTAGGTGATTGCCGAAAGTCACCAGCTTTCATGATGAAGAGGATCTAAAGGCACAATCTTCGGATTCCCAGGCCAGTGCTCACGCCAGTCGTCCCTAGAGAGATGTTCTTTAATAAGCTGGTCTCTCATCCGGTGTCTTCTGGTTAGCCAAATGTCAACCAGGAATTAAAATCCTAAAAGTGTAGAATGTTAGAGCCAGAAGGGACCTTAAAGACCACCCCGGCCAACCCACTCGACTTTACAGATTCGGAATCTAAAGTCCAAATCCCATGGCTTTTGAAGTTCAGTCCTATGCACGTCCCTTCCACTTATCACTTCCCTTCTGAGTGGTTAAAAAAAAATATCTGGCCAAAGATTTTACTTCCTTCTTTGACACTCAGTGTGCCACAGGCCACAGATTAGCAAAATCAAAGTGAAACTAAACGGGATTTGAATTCAAAAGATACTTAGTTTGTAAGAGATGTACCCACCATGACTGTTATCAAAAAATACCCAAGTTCTGCTGGGTTCTAAGCAGGCTCCCCCACTCTCCACCCTCCACCACCCTAACCAGAGAGAAGGCCTACTGAAATCCTTGCGTCTTAGGAAAGGGTACCTAGGACCCTTTGGAAGTCACCACCCCTTTAATCTGTGAAAATGTAGCAATCCTGTTTCGCTAAAGGCTTTTACTCCACAAATCATCCAGGAATCCGAATTAAAACTGGCAGCACATCACCAGAACTGTCACAGTTCGCTGACCCCAGGGGACTCAGACCTTGCTTCGCCCATCTTTATGTACCCCCCAAATCAGCTCCTGAACGTCTGCTAACCGTGATTCTTCTGTAGCAGCTCCATGGCTCTATGGCTAGCCTTACTTCTCTAATGAGATGGAAAGCTCTTTGAGGGCAAGAGACTACTTCTATCGCCCCTAGCTTCAAGAAACTTGAAGGATAAACAAAACCATGTGTAAAACCAAGCACAGTCACAGAGGTGTAAACAGGAAGCCAAGGAGCCGCGGATGAGCGTCAACTGGTGGGGAGGGGTAGCTGCTGGGTAAGGTAACAGATCCGAGTCTTAAAGGGCTAGTGGAATCAGCCGGGCAAAGGTAGGCGGAAGGCAAGCCAGGCAGGCGGGCCAGCGTCAGCAAAAGCAAGGAGAGAAACAGTTCAACGTTGCCGTAGCATCAAGTGCAAGGCGGGGAGTGGTGGGAATTGAGGCTGTAGCGGTGGGCCCGGCAAGGAGGCGGCAGGCAACAAGCCCGCGTAATTCGCGCTGACCTGTACGGGGAGGGCAGCTTACGCAATTCGCGAGTAAACGAATTTGGGCGCCCACTGCGAGGCTCTGTCAATGACCGCCTGTGGTGTCCGCGCCCGCCCCCTCCCCCCGTGCACCTGTGCGCCTTCGCAGCTGCCAAAGCAAACGCAGGGCTGCCTCAATCCGCTAGATTTTCAACGCGGGCCCCACGGCCCCCCACCCGACCCCGGCCACGGCCACTGCTGCCTCGGGCCCCCCGCCCCCTGGCCCTCTCGTTTCTCCGCTCCGGTTTAAAACGCCTGTTGACGCACTGTAGCGGGTGCCTGCGCGCTAGCGGGCGGCCCCGCGGTTTTCTCTGCAGTCGCCACCGGGGTTCCTGAAGAAGAATCCCTGCGGGCCTCCCGACCCCGGGCTGGGGAGGCCGGGGGCGGCCAAGGTTCCCTCGGCCCGGCTGGCACGGCGGCCGGGCAGGGGCCGGTGCCATCTGGGGCTTGCGCAAGGCGCAGTGCCGAAATCCGTCCTCCCGGGAAAGCGCAGCATGGAAACAAACAGGACGGGCCGCCCTCCTCTCCCGGCCCGCGGCCGGGCGGGCACCGGGGACGGCGCGGGCTCCCCCGCTGCCAGGCTCCGGCCGGGACCAGGACCCGGGCGGGCGCGGCGGCGTGGGGGGGTGGGGGGGTGGGGGCGCGGGGCGGAGCGGCTCGGGCCGGGGGCTCGCTCGGCCGGGGTCCGCGCGCCGGCGCCCAGGCCGTTGTCATTACCTGGCCAGTGTAGTTTTCCCCGAGCCCGGGAGGCCTCGCAGGAGGTAGAGGTGTTTCCTAAAGCTGTGGCGGCGCGGAGGTGTCCCACGCGGGGGCGGCGGGGCCGGCGGCCGAGGTTTCTGCTGCGGCCGCTGCTGCTGGAGGCTGAGCCTCCCAAAGGAGTCAAGAAAACTCTCCTCCATGGGGTGGGGGCTGGCTGCGAGAGCCCTGGGTTCCCTTTCCTGAAGTCACGGTCTTGGCCAAAGCTGTTGTTTTTGTGGCTCTCCGGCCATGTGATAGATGGAGGGGCGGGCGCTCAGAGCCCAGCCCCTCCTTCCCACCCGAGCGAACCGCGCTGCGTGGGAGGGGGCGTCCCTACCTGGAAAGCTGGGGACGCTGGGAGACTGGCAGACTGGAGGACCTGGGTGACGCTCCCCACCACCCACCCCGACCTCCGCCCCGCTCGCCAACCCCCTTCCTTGCCTCTCGGTGCCCTTCGCCCTGAGGGGAGAGGGCCTGCCCGGTGGGACACTGAGATACTTCGCCGGGCCGCCCGCCATGGAAGTCAGGCCCTCTGCAACAGCCCTCCTCCACCCCACCCCCGACTGGCCTGGACCTTGAAAGTGAAATAATTTTAGTCGACGATTAAAGAACGTGAACAGCATTTTGAATAGTAACAGTAAAGTCCATTGTCTCCCCCAGTTCGTGAGCACCAATATCTGGCTAGTGTCCCAGCGGCTAATACCGCTGTCCCAGGGCCTGTATCATTTTTTTTTAATCCTTCTTTAGCCTGCCAAAAATATTCTTAGAAAGCTTCGTCGCCTCTACATAACTTTAAATCTCATCAGAAAAAGCTCCCCTTAAAACTCAGAGTGATCTATCAACGGTAGCATAAACTACGTCTCATGAGAAGACCTGTACTGCCCAGGTACTTGCTTGGGCTGCCACCTGAGAAGACACGGCCTCTCTGGAAGGATTTCAGCTCCCCAGGGAAAGGAGCAGTCTCCTGAAATCATTTATAGAGAAGTATCCAGAATTAAGTTCTAAGTTTCAGGAACTGGTGAGTGCCAGTTGCTTGATCACCATAGCACTCTCCAATATTTCACACTTAAGGGTGTGATAGAGTGATCCTATTTTTTGAACCAAAATTCAAGATGCACCGACCGAAAGAGACAATATTGAAAATACCATGCTGGAAAAATCCAGGAGATGTGGTGGCTTTGGCTGTAATAATTACTGTAAAGTAAATTCGTTTTGTTTCTGGCAGCTAAGGTATGAAAATTTTGAAAAGGAATTGTGAAGAAAAGCAATTTCCTTCTGAAACAAAATCCAGAGATTTCATAATAAACTTTGGAAAGAAGGGCCCAAGTAGGGAGGGGCTCTGTGCGCACCTTCCCCTTGGGATTCCCCGGGAGAGGTGGGGGCGGGGAGATGAGCTGCTCTCCCTTGAAAATCTCTTCTGAGAATCAGAGGAAGGATCTTGGCACTGCTGAGAAAACTAGAATTTCAAAAGCTTCTCTAAATATTAGGGGAAAACCATAAGGAACGGAGAACACACATGACTCATAAAAATAGTGATGCTTAAATGTAGGTATCCTCTATTTCTATGTGTTCTATCATACTTCTTCCAAGAGTGTTTTTGCCCAGCCTCAAATACTACCTTTTTAATTCTAGACTTGCACTGTACAATACAGGAGCCACGAGCCACACAGGGTTATTGAGCACTTGAAATGTGGCTAGTGCAAAGTGAGATTAAAACACACACTGAATTTTGAAGGTTCAGTATGGAAAAAAAAATGTAAAATATCTCAGTAATTTTTATATTGATTATGTGTTGAAATGATAATATGTTGGTATGCTGGGTTAATACAGAATTAAAATTTTTATCGCTTGTTTCTTTTTGCCTTCTTAAGACAGCTACTAGAAAAGTCTAAATTACATATGTGGCTAGTGTATATCTATTAGTGCTGCATGAGACCTCCATCTACTTCCATCTCCTTCTACAGAGGGGGTCCCAGGCAATGTGGGATAGGGCACAGAGAGACACACAGCTTTGGGGTCTTGAGGTTTTAGCGTCCGGAGTGTCTGTGGCAGATGGAACAACCTAGTAGAGGCTGAGAAATATGAGTGTGTTGCTCAGAAGAGAGGTCTGAGCTAGAGACAGAGCTTTGGAAATCCTTGCCCTATGAGAAGAAGATAGAGAAATAGAGCAGAAAGCTGAAGAGGGGTCCCTGGAGACACCAGCATTTAAGTAGTATGCCTTTGAAGTGGATCTGCCAAAGGAGAGTATGAGAGAATGATCAGCAAAGCAGACAGAACTCTAAAATAGAGATGTATGGAGGACCAGGAGAAAAGAGCTTAAAGGAGGAGAAAATGGGCAGCAGTACCGGGAAGTGACCCTAGACACTTTTCCTTTCTTTCGACCCCCACATTTAACTAGTCAACAAGCTCTGGCTGTTTTTTCTGATTTATTCCTCCAAACTACACTGTCTAAGGTTATCTGTGTATCTGTTTCCCCCCACTAGGCTGTAAGTGGGAACAGTGTCACCCTTGTCACCCTCAAGATCTAACAACACAGCCTGACATTCAGGAGGTACTCAATAATTGTATGTGGACCTGAACTACTTTCTCAATAGATAAGTGTGATTTACTAAATATTAAGAATAAACCAAGATCATGATAATGTCAGCTAAGGAGCAAACAGTAAACATATCGATGGATCTGAGATCCAGCTTGCTATGAGCTACATTCATATCTTTACTGGTTCTCTCTAGGTGGCAGCCTCCAGAGATCTGGGCTACACCCAAGTCAGAGGATCCCTGTGATAACACTCCTTAGTGCCTTCATTTCATCCAACCAACTTGTCAGCTCTAGGGTTCCATTCCATTTCTAGCTTATGTGATGACCAGCACAATCTTACTTTGCTGCACTAGAAACCATTACCATGACAGACGTAAAGAAAATTTTAAGTCATTTTCGGCAAATGAAGAAACATTCAAATGTTTCTCTAATTACTACTGTTTAAAAGACATGGAAAAATAAGGAGGTACATAAGAAGAACTAGTGAAAATGAGGAATTTAACTCTCAAATGTACAGCTCCAAATAACCCAGGATTTGGGATGCTTAATTATAAATCAGCCCCAAGTTTCTACCCCAGAGATGCCAAGATGGCAGAAAGTCTGAGACCAAGATGGAGCTTCTGAAGCAGTCTAACCAAAGACCCTCGAATGCAGCAGAACCAGTTAAAATATGTAGGCAGCAGCTTTCCCACTGCTCTCTAATCCTATTTTTCTTCCCCTATCAAAAATTTTTTGACATTTTTTCCTTAAAAACATAAATTAGTCTTATTCACATACATATTTCTCTTGTTATATATAAGTGATATAAATGGAAAGGACCAGAAGGAAGTCTAGCTGTTTGTGTAGTAGACTCCTGATTACCCAGAAGCTCCACTTGCACCTGCTGCCACTTTCTGCACAATCCGACCAGATAGGACCTTGTCCTCCTCTCTACTAACACTGCCCCCTCCTGGTTCTTCCCTCATCCTTCCCCTAGAAGCCAGATGGAGGCTGCAGGAAGCCAGAAGAAGTTAGGGAAAGGAGGGCAAGGGAAGAGAAGTGATGCAGCATATGTATGTCTACTTGGCTGAACTGACAGGAGAAATGCACAGGAATCTGGTGGCCTGCGAGAGGTCTGCCATGTGGAATGTTCTCTGGACAAACCTGATTTTGCCTCTGCCTCCCACAATCCATCCCTTATTCTTTTTAGTGCCACACCCCTTCCCCAAGGTGAGGACCGTATCTGCTTTTCCACAGCAACTATTTGCCACTATGCACCAGGGCACTTAAGGACTATAAGCTTTAAAGCCTAGGAGCAAGAGAAAGTAGCCCCAGCACATTTTTTCTAAAGCTCCATTCTGGAAATTAGGGAAAGATAATAAAGACAGGGGCTGGAGAGAGCTGGGGACATTCTGGAACCCAGGCACGAGCCTGGATAGAGGGTCAGCTGTCAGTACAGCATAAAGGTGTTTCAGAACTGGTCACTACTCATGCCATAGTTATTGTTAAATATTTATAATATTACCCTTGGATAAGGCATGGCAGTGTGGATTCTAACGTATTCATTAGAAATCCCTAAGTATTGCCGGTGAAGACCCCTAAGAAAGCAAGGATTTGCCAGATCCCAGAGTCCCCTCTGCAGCTGTCTACGCCTCGACACTAATACTAGTCGTTCTTCCCTGAAATCATCCCATCCTCGGCCAAAAGCAAGTTCAGTTTCACAATGGCTCTAGGAGCCTACAGAGAGAGCAAGACTCTCAAGGAGTTCAAGCAAACACTGAAGACCCTGGTCTCCATCTGGAACAGACCCACCGTCTGGTAGAAAGATGAACTAAAGCTGTACGAAATGAGCATAAGGGGGAAAATAGAGATATTTTAAATAAAGCCCTCAATTCCCAATAAAGATGGCAGATGGAACACAAATACTTAATTGCCACGCCCTCTGAAACCCCACTGAAATGTTTTGGGAGGGCGGTTATTTTGTTATTATATTTAAGCATAAATTATAAGAAAAAAGAGAGAAGATTACAGCAACAAAGTTTTGAAAACTGGAGAGCAAAGACCAAGCGTTAATTTGGCAAAAACAAACAAGCAAACAAAACAACCCTGAATTGTAGACAGCTGTGAGTCGACACAATTTACCCTGCGTAACACCTAAAATTTCAGGAACTAGAATATTTGGGGCTGGAGGTGAGGCTCTAAATAGGAAGGTCAGTTGGAATTCTGTTTAAGAAACAAAACAAACAAACAAACAAACAAAAAGAAGCATCCAGAGTCAGGCATGTGCCCACCTCCTAGAGAAGCCCAGAGGTTTATTCCCTGGAGATCAAACAGGATAGGGTGGAGTGGAGGTAAGACAAGACAATGTAGCCTCCCTTTCTGAAAACAGAGGGAGTAAGAAAATGCCTACATGTTGGACAGTGAGTAACCACCCCTGGCTTCAATTTTTCAAATATGAATTTTCACATTTGAAGTTTGTTAAATACAACTAAACTAAAACAGAATTTTAAAAAGATAGTTACCTGTAGTATGGTGCAAGTCCCACAATCCCTAACCAATATTCTTGAGGTCAGATCTGTTTCAGAATTCAGAAAGTGTATGTGTGTTTGTCTGTATACAGGGTGTGTGTATGTGCATATATACATAACTTTACATTCTGAGTGGGGGCTGGGCAGCCCATGGTAATTAAATACATTAATATTTCTGCAATGACATGTATGCATGGTCGCACTAGGTAGGAT